GGAAGAATGGGTGACTTTGGGGAGAAAACTAGAGAGAGAATTAGAAACTGTCTCCTCGGATGAACATTTGTGTTTATTTTCAGACAAAAGAAGGAATTTTTTAAAATATTTTAATAATTTTTAATTTTATAGACTCATTTATGAATGATTGTGTTGGCTTGCAGCTGATCTGCGAGCGATGCCATTTGATTTGGTTTGGTTATTATTAACTGATTTTCATAATTCGAAACTGAAAAATAACCGACTGCCGACTTATTTTTATGTATACATGTTTATATGTTTGTCATACCTCAATATAATTTATTCCTTACTAATTGTTGATGTCCAAAATGGAGTAAACTTAAAGTGAGCTTGACCTCAGTCGCTACCGTCCTTGGACATGTGGAAGGGAGTCGCTACCGTCCTTGGACATGTGGAAGGGAGATACGTAAGAGAGATAAGATCGGTAAGAACTTTGGTACCAATGTGATACTGGTTGAAGGTACCTCAATACTTAAGTTAGTATCAATGGAGAATAGAAAGGTAATTCAACATAATAACGGCACACGTTCTAATTTACTAGTGCCTAGTTCCATGGGGCGAGATTTATGGACAAAAGAGGTCAGAACTCTTTTGTGGTTCCTTCCATGTGGGATTCCTAGCATGGCATCATATGTGACTGGGGTGAGGCATTATGCTTTGGATTAGAATTAAGGCTCACATTGCATACTGAAAAACCAACCAAATCAATGAAAAAAATAATGTCACTAGGCAGTGGCGAAGCCAGGATTTCATGTGTCTGGGGGCCTTTCACAAAATATAAACAATAAAAACTTCGAACTCACAAGACATCAAAACATCAAAAATCATATTGTCTATTCATTATAATCATAATTGTCCTCGACGAGTTTTCATATTTTGAAATCGTTGCATAACAACCTCGTCATCTATACTATTAAAAATGTCTTTCTCAATATATGCAACCAAGCAATCATTCATCCACAAATCCCCCATTAGATTGCGTAACCGATTCTTCACAATATTCATAGCAGAAAATACTCGCTCTACACTTGCGGTCGCAACAGGTAGGATTAGTGCCAGTGTCAAAAGCAAGTACAATAAAAAGGGTAGATCTGATCTTTTTTTGTCTCAACCATCTTTTGAGCAAGATCAGTAATCCCTTTCAATTCTGTAAATTCATCGTTAGAGCTCACGTCCCAAATGTAATTCTCAAGTTGTTCTTCAAGTAATTTGAGGTCATACTTAGAAAAATCACTAGGATAAAATTGGGCAAGTCGCATCAACTTTGCTTTATCAAAAGCAGAGAATGAATTACTTGGACTCAAGCATGCCATTCAAAGAAGTAATTCAGTATTCTTCTCATTGAACCAATCATTTAACTCTCGGAGTTGAATATCAATAACATCAACGAATAAATCAACACGATAATGATGTAAGTTTGTGATGGGTTGAGCTTTACGTTTTGGTCTCCCTCCATTAGAAAAAATATCATCCATTTTAGGAATTTCAATATGATACTTGCCACAAAAGAAAGAAACTTGATCAAGTAAAGAATCCCAACCATTATCTCGCATACTTTGCAATCTTCCTTTACATATTTTGACCAAGTCCATGGCATTCACAATATCTTGATCTTTCTTTTGTAATGCCTGAGACAAGTCGTTTGTGATTCCCAAAATTCTTTTCATCAAGTGTAGACCAAAAATGAAGCTGAATGATTGCATAAAAGTCAATAGAACCTTTGCTTCAAATTTTTGTTCATAACCTGATCCATCTGTTCTTACAATCTTAAGCACATCTATCACAGATGGGAACATGTTTTCCAAACTGATTAAACAATTATAATGAGAGCTCCATCGTGTATCACTAGACCGCTTAAGATTAGTTTCTTGATTCAGGCCTTGTCCACTTAAGAGCTCATTATTATTGAGTGCTTCAAAAATTACATCAGCATGCTTTTCTCTCAGCATATCACGGCGCTTAGCAGATGCACCCATAACATTCACCACATTAGAAACCATAGTAAATAAATCTGCAATTTCTGAATGTTTCTTTGCCACAGCTACCAAAGCTAGCTGAAATTGATGAGCAAAATAATGAACATAAAAAGCAGAGTCATTCTCATTTAGAATGAGTGTTTTAAGACCACTAAACTCACCTCTCATATTACTTGCGCCATAACCCTGCCCTCGCAATCTAGAGATGCTTAATCCATGTCTCGAAAAGAAATCATCAACGGCTAACTTGAGGGAAGAAGATTTAGTATCTATAACATGCACAATACCTACAAAACGTTCAATTGCCTTACCTTTATCCACATAACGTAGCACAATTGCCATCTGCTCCTTTGAAGACATGTCGCACGATTCATCAACAAGAATGGCAAATAATGAATCACCAATATCCCTTATGATTGCATTGATAATTTCAGTTGAAATAGCACTTGAAATGCCCTTCTGGATATCAGGTGATGTCAACTTCATATTTTCAGGAGCATTTTATGGCGTGACAGCTTTTATATCATCATTGAAACGACATAGCCATCGTAAAAATGCAAGAAAATTCCCTTGATTGGTTGAATTTTTAGATTCATCATGCCCACGAAATGGAAGCCCTTGTTGCAAAAGTATCCTACTGACACCAACTGATGCACCTAAACGAGTTCGATAATCAATTCGATCTTGGTTTGAGTGTTTTGAGAGAATTGTTTCAATATGCTGCTTTTGGTTTAATAAGACCTCACAACTTCTCCAAGCCTTATTGTGGGCACTATTCGGTCCTCCAACATGAATTTGTAGTCTATCTTTTTTCTTCCAATTCGAAAATCCAACACCAACAAAAGATTCACCAACAAAAGATTCACAACATAGACAAAAGTGATCCAACTCGGGTTGGTATGCTCACAAAGAGAGACCAATCCACATGTGTTTAAGTTTGAGAGCCACCTTGTTCTCTATGGGTCGAATCCCCCGACCAAGACCTTGTCGTGGATGGAGTTGCCCGATGATAATATGACTTACTGTTTATGTTATGGCTCCGTTGCTGGACAGTCAGCGGGAATTCCGGGCTGTCCTTGACAAGTGATCAATCCAAAGAACTCCGATCGATGGAAGAAAGCGAGCACTCAACCTCACCTAGATCTTCCTTTGTTGCACCTAATGGAGAAAGAAGACTGGTAATAGGTTTCTTTTGGAAAAATAGATCTAAGTTTAGCCTGTTTTTGATTCATCCAATTGTGGAGAGTGAGTCTAGTATCATACTTCCAATTCCTCTAAAGGAGTTGACCCGAATCAGTAAGAGGGATGATATATTGACAGACTTATCCCTGGACCATTTTCTGCCTACTTTACTGTCCTGGCCCTACCCCCTACTTGTGAATGAAAGCACTACGCCAAGTCTTTTTTTTTTTTTTATTCCTTACTCTAGGCTCGCGGGACTACTTGACCAGTGGAACCACCCCATTTGATTACTAATTATTCATTAAGCTCGTCTTTAATTCATACTAATTTATTTAGGGCTCGACTCAAATTGAAGGACCTTTTTGGAAATAATCTCTTCGAACTTGGTCTCGAACATTTGGATGGTAACTCAATATTTGATTACGTAATCCGGGATCAGATGGCAGATTTTCCGAGTTAACTTCCGTAGTTTGGTTTGGACTACTTTCATTTTTCTTTTGACTCTTTGCAGGTGACGACTCCACTAACTCAGACTTTGATTTTCTTTTGAAAAATCTTTCCATAACTGAAACACATATATGAACTAAATTTAAATCGAAACAGTTATGAACATCTTCTCAAACTTATAAACCAAAGCAAATTGAGCAATTCAAAGCAATATATTAATCAAACCAATAGAGAATCATATATATAGAAATTTATAAATTAAAATTAAAATTTCACCAACACAAGTTCACAATTGCATTAAAGGGATAAAAAATTATATACTACGCAAGAAAAATTATTATCTCCAACCAAAGCCTTTTCCCTTTGGTAATCTATACATAAATTGAAAGACCCATTAAAATCAATAGAAATAAAAAATAAATAAATAAAACTTGATAATTTAATTAGAATTTGAGAAGAAAAAAAACTCACAAGCAACTGGCTGGTCTGGTTTGGTTGTGTTTCTGACCTAAGAAAAGGGAAAAAGGCTTAGGTTTATTGATTTACACTAGAAGGTAATATATAATAATAATAATTCTAATCCTTTTAGGAATGGGTAGTATATAATTTTAGGATAGTTGAGTGGCCCACGTTGAAATCTATTGGACCACACCACTTTGACTTAAAACACCACTATGACTTAACTTGTTGTTGAAATCTTCTTTCTTTGGCCCATATCCATGTAGGCAGACTCCTAATACTAGTACTATTTTTTTTTTAATAAAATTTCAGTGGGGGCCAGTGACTGCACTGGTCCCCAAGTGCCTCCGCTAGAGTAAGAAAACTGATCGACCCTAGTCAGTTTTATAGACCAATCGAACCCTAGTTAGTTTTGAAAACTCATGCATGACGGTTTATCGAACCAATTGACATATATAAATAATTAATTTAATATATATTAATTATAGCCCTTAGATTAATCTAATGGCTAGGATTTTAGGATTGGGATTAATCCTAACTGTCAGATTATCTCACTCAACCTCATCTCTCTCACTCTCAAATAAGACTCTCACTCCATTATTCCCCAAAAAAAAAAAAAAAAAACAATCGTCCCTTCCCCTCCTCTAAATCCCCTCACCTAAATCGCCATGTATGTCGTCGTTGAGCAATCTGACCTCTTTGTAGAGTTGATAATAAGTCTTGTCATGTCGGATATTGAATTCAAAATAGAGATGAGGAGATCGATTTAGGCTAAG